AAAACGCCTCCGGGGGGGGGGGGGGGGGGGGCTTCAAGCCCCAGTCTGGATTGTACTGGGCTGTACTGGGAACCCACCCTAGGCCCCCCCCTTCCCAGCCCTCCCAGCCTCTCCAGAGTCCTGGAGGAAGATCTGCTCCTGCCTTCTCTGCTCCAGTCCCCCCAGTTCCTCCCAGTCCCCACCAGCAGAGGAGGAAGAGTGAAGCCAGCCCTGGCGCTGGGGGTGTCAACTGGGGGCTGGGGGCTCATCCCATGTATGTCCCCCCCCGCAACCAGGCTCCAGCAATGCCTGTGAGAAGACCTCCTTTGCCTTCCTGCGCCAGGAGCTGCCCGTCCGCCTCTCCAACATCATGAAGGAGATCAACCTCCTGCCCGACCGCGTCCTGCGCACCCCCTCCGTCCAGCTGGTCCAGAGCTGGTGAGACTGGGGGGGTCCGTGGGGGGTCCACTGCCACCGGGGGTCCTGCTCCCACCACGGGTCCACCCGGTCCCACCCAGCATTGGGTGTGGAGGTGCCACCACCATCGTCTGTATGGGTCCTGCTGCCAACACGGGTCCTGCTGCTGGGGGTCCCAGCGTTGTAGCTCATGGGGGTCCCACCATTGGTACTTGTGTGGGTCCTGCTGCCACCACGGGTCCTGCTGCCACCACAGGTCCCACCGTTGTTGCTCATGGGGGTCCCACCTCTAGCACTTCTGTGGGTCCTGCTGCCACCATGGGTCCTGCTGCCAGGGGTCCCACTGCCACAGGTCCCACTGCTGGTCACCTAGCGGGGTCCCACGACTGTCACCCACCTGGGTGCCACTGTGGGTCCCACCACTGTCACCTGCACATCTCCCATTGCCACCATGGCTCCTGCCACCGCCGTTGGCTCAGAGGGGTCCCGCTGTCACCACAGGTCCCACCACCACCGCGTGTCCCACCGCTGCCACCGACTGTCCTCCCCAGCAGGTCCAGAGGGAGCTGCTGGTGGGGGGTGGACAGGGGGACACAAGGACAGGTGGCTGGCAGGGCCACCCAGCTGGTGCCATGCCATGCCCTTGGGTGACAAGAGCTGCAGGCCCTTTGGGGACACCCCCATGCCAGCGGAGTGTCCCCAGCCACCAGGGGGGTCACCAGTGCCACCCACACGTCCTGCCCCCCAAAAGGGCGCTGAGCCAGCCCTGGTGGCTGGGGGGTCCGTGTTCTCGGTGGGGGGCTCTGGGTGTCCCTTTAAGTGCTGTCCCCCTGCCAGCCCGGGCAGCGTGAACCTTCTCCCGGAGCCACCACCACGTGACGGGTTGTTTGTGCAGTGTCCCCAGGTCCCTGCCAGTGCCACCGGCCAGCGGGATCTGGCCACACCACCCTCCCACAGCCCTCGGGATGGCGGGCGGGGGGACGGGACACCCCAGGTGGCAGAGACCCCACATGCCCCCCTCACCCCATCAGAGGGGCTGCCGTCCCCAAGGGCCACCGTGTCAGCATGGGGGTGGGATGAGCTTTTCCCCCCACCCAAGCACAGGGTGGTTTCATGGGGCAGCAGCTTTTTTGGAGGGGTGTCCTGGTTGAGGGGGTGCTGAGCCCCTCTCCCTGTGTGGGGCAGAGCCCCAGGGCACCCTGTGCCCCCCTGGTGTGGGGTTCCTGGGACGTCCCCTCTCTTTGGGGCGGACACCAGGTGAGGGGTAACTGGCTCCTTCCCCAGGTACGTCCAGAGCCTGCTGGACATCATGGAGTTCCTCGACAGGGACCCTGAGGACCAGGCCACCCTCGGACAGTAAGTTGGGGGAGTGACAGCATGTCCGTGACACCCCTTGTCACCAATTTTGGGGTGTCACCTCCTCCCAGACCCACACTGGTGGGAGCTTGGCAGCACTTGCGCCCTGCATCGCCCTCAGACCGCCCTCCACCCCGCTGTGCCCTGAGTGTCCCAGTGCCACCAGACTCTACTCCGGTTTTTCCCCAGTGCCACCAGCTCCTGGGGAGACCCGGCCTGGATGGGGGCTCTGCCTGGACCAGGTGCCCCCCCAACTCCATCCCCTTCTCACCAGATTCACGGACGCTTTGGTCACCATCCGGAACCGGCACAACGACGTGGTGCCCACCATGGCGCAGGGGGTCATTGAGTACAAGGAGGCCTATGGGGACGACCCCGTCTCCAACCAGAACATCCAGTACTTCCTCGACCGCTTCTACCTGAGCCGTATCTCCATCCGCATGCTCATCAACCAGCACAGTGAGCGGCCTTGGGGGGCCCCCTGCCGCTGCACCCCCGTGTCCCAACTGTCCCCGTCAGCCCTCGGCATCCCTGGGGGTGTCCCCTGTCCCCAGCACCCTCCTGCCCCCAGTGTCCCCATCAGCCCTGGGGGTCCCCCCTGCCCTGGCAACCCCTGCCCCGAGTGTCCCCATTAGCCCTGAGCATCCTTGGGGGGGGCCCTGCCCCTGCACCCCTTGCCCCAGGTGTCCCCATCATCCATGAGTATCCTGGGGGTCCCCCTGTCCCCAGCACCCCCCTGCCCCAAGTATCCCT